CCGTGCCCAGACAAGGTAATTATGACTAATGGGCCAGGCCGGCCCCTTTAAAGCCCATTTATTAAATTACATTTGTGTTAGAAAAAAATAATACATAATATTATTATATTTGTATCTTAAATTCAGGTCTATTTATTTTCTCTAATAATATGATTAAAATGTAATGTTTTCTTTATATAAAAAATAATTATTTTATTTTTCAAGTTTTAATTTTTAAAATCCATACAATAATCTACTCATTTTTTATTTAAATGTACTTTAAAGAAAGTTAATGGCCACTTTTTAAAATAAATAATAAATCTTGTTAGTATAATTGTAAAAAATATTTAAATGAAGTTGTAAAAAAAATTACAAAAAAAAAATTGCAATACATAAGTCAAATTTGGCATAGGCCCATCTCGACCAGTTTAGTGGCCTGACATGAGCACAGCCTGAGCCCATATGGGCTCAGGTTGGGATTGATATTCTCATAAATGGACGGGCACAGCACGGCCCGTTTATTAAATGGGCCAACTCTAAATGGATCGGTTAGACCCGACACGGCCCATTTGACACCTCTAGAAACTATACATGATAATATGCATATAAAGGAAGAATTTAGCCTAACCCATGTGGGTGTATGAAGAAAGTTAGAAAACCAGTGACCAAGAATTTAAAGAAGAGGAAGATAGAAATCTTTGACAAGAAACTTCCCACATAACTATAGGTGTCAAATTAGACCGGCCCGGCCCAGCTCAGCTCGTTTAGAGTCTGCCCATTTAATGGGCCGTGTCGGGCCCGTTCATTTATGAAAATCATCAAGCCCATCCCAAGCCCATGACCCGACCCCAAATGAGCTTAGGTCTTGCTCGTGTTGGGCTACTAAATAGATCGAGATGGGCCCAAGCTAAATGAAAGCTTAGACTTCTTTATATTTGGTTTGTTCCTAGTCCTCATTTCAGTATTTTTATACTGCATGATTTTTGGTTTCTTCATTACCAGAGTTCCCAAGTTTCTCTAATGGATAATGCAAAGTTTTCCAGATCATACAAAAAGCATCTTTCTTAATTGGGAGATGTACGCTTTAACATAATTTTGGGAATCACTCAAGGACTTCTTTTCTAGATTGAGGATCATTCACAGAGATTTGAAAACCAACAACATTCTCTTAGATGAGGAGATGAACCCCAAAATATCTGACTTTGGCTTGGCAAGGATTGTTGGAGGCAAAGAAACTGAGTCTAACACAGACACAATAGTCGAAACTTAGTAAGTTTTGTGCAGATGCTTTAATTTTTAGGGTGGATGCTTCATACATTGTAGCACAAATTTATTGACTGTTATCATAATTTGTGATGCAGTGGTTACATGTCTCCAGAGTATGCATTAGATGAAACTTTCTTAGTGAAATCAGATGTGTTTAGCTTCGGTGTGATTCTTCTAGAAATAATCAGTGGAAAAAGAAGAGATATTTAGTCATAAACCCATTCTTAGCACTAAAATTATAAATAAACCCTACACCATTTAATTTCTATAAACAAACCCAAAAAAACTCAACCAAAAAAAAAACAGCTGGCTCTATTAAATTTAATTTTGATTATTAAATTACTTTGATACCCTATTGAGTATTTTAGGCTTTTTAATGAGTTTTTGGGTTGGGTTTGTTTTAAGAAATCAATGGCAGTTTTGTAATTTAAAAAAAGTTAAAAGCCTTTTTGTTATGTTGTAAATGAACTTTATGTGTGTTTCTAAAATCCATTTCATATAGGTTTTTTTATTATAATTTGGGCTTTTATATTTGGTATAATAGTGAATCTCCCTAAAAAGAACACAAAATTTTATCAATCCCAACAAACTTTCAGCCTCATAAGTTATGGTCGAATTTAATTTTGGTCATCGAAATTTCAATTTTTCGATTTTGATCACTTAGAAAATCAGGTCATATGCTTCAATTCTATCAGTTTCATTAATTAAAAAATATTTTTTAATATTAAATTATAAATAAATAAAAATATTTTCTTTTTTAATTATTAGATCTCTTTACCCAACCCCCACCCGGCAGCGACAGCCATAACCACCCACCTCCGAACCCATCACGAGATCGTACGGCCCCCGACTCTCTTCGCTAACCTCTCTTCGTCGTCCATATGCCGCAAAACCCTAATGTTCCCCATCACGTGCCGCGCGTTCCTAGAGTGGCTGGTGGTGGTCTTGGTGGTCGGGGTGTGGTGGTTTGGGTGGCTAGAGTCGCTAGGTTGGTGGGTTGTGGGAGGGGGCAATCATGTTTTGTTGGTCGCCGGGGGGGGCGCGAAACGGAAGAACAATGGTGGTTTTTTTGGTTGCAGGGAGAGAGAGCTCCCAAAATCAAAGGCCTTGTTCTTGAGGTCTCTCTCTATGAGACCCAGCAAAGGAGCGTTTGGGTCAATTGGGCATGCCAAAAATCTCTACTTTTTGGGCATTATCTCTCATCTCACCTTTCTTCTCTCCCTCTCCTGCTTCAGAGGCTGTACTTACGAGGACGATTGGAGACATTACCTCACTGTATACCTTCTCTGCATAGCCTTGTCATGTTATATTTGAAGTGTTTGCCCAATCTAGTACATCTTGAGTTATCTCAGGTGGTTAAAGGAGACACAGTATTGTTTGGAGCTGGAGGATTTAAGAAGCTCAAACGTTTAGGTATTGACGAATTTGACGAACTTAGATGCATACAGGACAACTAGTTCACCCATTAATTACATAACAAAGACACCGACAATGACAACAACTTCCAATCAAAACAATCATACATAAGCAGAGAAGTTGGAAGAGAAGTTCCCGCATCAATAACTGATGTAATAATAAGTCCGGGAGGTCAGCAGGTCGACATCAAGCAAGACAGAGGAGCTTGTTAACTCCTGAGTCTAGAGCATCAACATTTCTTCTCAAGATTTTTCTGGACGCTTAAGGAATCCGAAACAATACTGACATCACAAAAGCAAAGCACTCTCAGGAATTGCAGTTCAAGGGAATTCTAAATACTCAACTGCGTTTAGCAATTTTTCTCAACTGGCAGCCGTTTGATACTAGAATGAGCATCCAGATGCCTTCATATCAGCAGACAGTAGGATCAATCCTTGATTTCAGCATAAGTAATTGGTACAATGGAAGGCCAAAGCATAAGCTATGCAAGACATGCACAAAGGGTATAATGAAACAAATGTTAAGGATACAGCTGCAATTTTAGACTGTCAATGCCCGTCATTTCTTCATTCAACCTGCCAAAAAAAGGGAAAATCAACGTTTTCTTATGCTGCAAAAGCAAACACGGGGGTATCTATCTCCCAACAAAAAGAGAAAAAGTTGCCTAAAAGTTTAATTCCTCTCCATCCTAAACTAAGAAAGAACCCAACAGATACTAAGACTTAAAGTTACTGAGATAGTCATCTATCAGTGCTGCATCGGCAGATTTGCTCAAAAGAAAACAAAGTTAAAAACTTCCTTTTCAGAAAGTAGTCATGTGATTAGTCATCGCAAGGATGTGCGCCACGCGTTAACAGCAAACATCTCTCCGAATTACACATACAGACTGCAAGAATACTTTTCTAGATGACATGCATTACTTGTTAGTAGGAAATAAAGATACTGAGAAAACAAACGGCATGTTAGATAGTCCGACTGAGGGCCGGGGATCAATTTATATGAAGAACAAGAAATAGTTATTGCAGAAACCACAATTCATTAATCACGGTTATTGCAGACATGTTCATATCATATTATGCATAAAAAGTTCTGAGGGATCCCACCATATTCAAAGCCATTTCCATTTTCTGGTATCTATTAAACGGCAAGAGAAGGTGATCAAAGCCTTCAATAATACCTGAGACATGAATTTATATACGGATTTCCCTTGGTAGTAGAATCAACCACTGAAATTGAAAGTTCAAGAACATTGTTATCTTTCAATTATTCACAACTGAGAATTAATAGCAGAATCAAGCATAATCAGAAAGTTCATTTTTACACAAACAGATACCGGATTCTTGAAGGCAGCCTGCAGCTTCGCTAAAGCAATGCGCATGTGATAAACCAAGTTGCTAGTGACCTTCATTTTCCTTCATCTGTTAACTTTAGTTAATTAATAGGATCTGAGCCCCCGCCAAAAAGAAAACTGTTAACCAGAGGGCATTTTTGCTTTTTATTCTTGGGCGCAAGAAGCTTCCAGCCCAAATAGTTTTGCAAATAGAAAATGAAAATCTATTTTCTATTTATTAAGACCTTTATTCGTCTCTTCGAACGGAGCCTGGGTTGAATCCGCCCCCTTGCAACTTCCAACTAGAGGGTATGAAATGTCAAAATTTTCCAATTTAACATTTAAAAATGAATAATAAAATTTAAAAGTTAAGGGTAATATCACATGGTAAATGGTTACTTGGTTACCATATCAGTAATATGGTAACTAAGTAACCATTTACCACAAACTTTTCCTCTCACAGTCACCCTACTTTTTCAACAACTAAGTAATTTGCAGTAAGTTGATAATTTTGATCATGATTTATAAATAGGGTTGACATCATTTTTCTATCTCCATTTTTGCCCTCTTTGATTGTTAAAAAAAAGTTGTTCATTGGACTTATTTGCTACAAACTTCCAAAATAATGAATAGAAGGCTAGGTTAAAAGATTATGAATTTGAATGCAATTTCTCTGTCCCATCTATAAGGTGGCTCTCTAGCTATCAAAGGGATCACAACACAAAAGCTATGCCATATGGGGAGATTAGATGAGATGCTTTTAAGTGGCAAAGTAGGATTGGCTCTCAAGTGTTAGGATTTATACAGTTTTCTTGTTTAGCTAACCTCTAGGTCTAGGGTTTATTTAGTCCATAGAACTTTAGCAATATACGATTTTAAAAGCAATCTTGACACAAACTATTCCATTTAAACTCCGTCGTTCAAATCATTTGACCAAAGAAAAACAGAATGGTCAAAGAGAAATGCTTCCTCTGAATTTATATGAAACAGCACATATGAGAACATGACGGAACCGCAACAATTTCGTATATATAAAAATCCCTCAAGGGAATTGTTTAGTATATGAGAGAGATCGAATCGAAAAACAACTAAGGATATCCAATGTTTCTGCCAAAAAAAAAAAGGTTTTCCTACAATATCATTAGCTCCATTGCATTCATCACCTGGTGACTCTATAGTTCTACAAAACCAAAGAAAAGCTTGGTTAAGTTTTCCTCCAAATAATAAATTGATAACCTAAGGCAACTTTGAACTAATAATTATGAGATATGTAATGAAGAAAACAAATTTTTATCTACAGGCAAAACCAGAAAATACCTTGACACTTTGCAATAGCTTTTTGGCAGTTTTGTCATTCTTGAAGTGTGTGCGTACAGGCTGCATTCAGGAAAAACAAAGTTAAGCCTACTTCCAGTATTTTGCTTAAAATGAGAAGAACATGGCATATAAAAAACAAGCCTACCTCCAATATTTTGTTCAATGCTTTTGATAAAGCTGATTTAAGGTCAGTTGGATGTAGCTCGCCACTTTCATAATCAGCAGCCAATTCTTCAAAGCTTTTGAAAGTCCTGTATGGGGGGAATGCGCAAAAGGAACAATTACAGCCAACATGAGGTTCAATTAGGTAAACAAGCAAAAGTTTTTTAAATAAATTATTTTTACCAGTATAATCTAAAATCACTTACTTATTTCCGCCGTTCTTTTCAGAGCGTTCTACAATGAACTCATTGAACCAAGGTAGGATGAGATACTTCACATACTCCATACATGGATTCCCTTCAACAACATTTGGAGGGCAGTAAGCTTTCTTTATCTTCAAATTCACTTCAGCCTGAGATTCAGTGATATATGTCAAAAAATAGAATAAACATTTGGTGCCATACATTGAAAGCTAAAACCCGTAGCTTAAAACAACCCACCTCTTCATCTTCCATGAATATGGAGGACGATACATCGCTTTTAGACATCTTCTCCTGCCCTTGCTTCAAACCAGGTAACATGTCTGCAAATCATCATTAAGAAAAATTAACAAATACTGTGTAAGTACTCTCATGTTAAAGCATAAAACAATAGCATTGCAACAACATAAATAGGAATTAGAATATTACGGTGTGACAAGATAATAGGCTTGTTCTTCTTCTTGATGTCATCACAGTACTCTCTTGCAAGAACATTTACTTTACGCTGATCCATTCCCATCTGACAGATGTCCGCCTATTAAAGGAAAAACATTTCGCAAGTCACCATGACATATTCATTGAAATTGAACATCGACATTTCCTTTCTTTTCTTTTGAAGAGAAATAAAACATGTATCAAATTAGAAGTTGATGAACAATGCTCGAATTAAATGCATCATGGCCTAAAGTGCATTATTTAGCAAATGATGAGGCCAAGTCTACAGTAGTCACTGCATAAGGCAACATGGGAAACAAAACCTATTAATAAAATATCCAAAATTAAAACAGCAAGCACCTGAAGGAAGAATATATCTGCACATTGCATACATGGGTAGAGAATTTGGGCTGCCTTTATATCACCTAGCTCATTTCGACCCATAATCTGACAACACCTGGAAATATAGAAGGAAACAAATACATAAAAGTCGAGATTCAACTGATATAATAGGCACAATAAGCATCATAATAGGCTAGCTACCTAGTCATCCTTTTAACTGAATACGTTCGAGCTATGTCCAACACACGAGGCCAATACTCATGCGATCTCGCATTAATCTCCTTTGAAGACCACACAAACTCAACTTTGCCATTGTCCAAATTCATCCCAGCAGCCTTCCATATCTCTATCATGTAGCGCCCAACAGTCTCTATCTTTTTCAAATCACCCCCCATCTTATTGTTTAATTGTGCAAACCAATCTGCAATCCATATTTTCACTCTGCAGCCAGCGGAGGTCATCTTGTTTACATTTATTGTCTTCATAACTCCCTACACAACAACACATTTGAACCTCACAAAACACACAAAAAGTATCAAAATCTTGTTCAAATTGAACTACTGAAATTTACAGATATATAATCAATATCAATTATGTGTTACGAATTTTATGATTGCTTAAAAATTTGAAACAACACCTGCGCAATGTGCATTCGACCGGAGGGTTCAAACCCATCATAGCAGATGGGTTCGGGCTTATTAGCCAGCAAATTCCAAAGCTCGTCATCTTGAATACATTCCTCTGCCACGCTCCTCACCATCTGGTACTTCTCCTCCAAACTCCTTCTTCACCAAAATCACACCCACAAAACCCACAGAAGTTTGAAATTAAGTTCAGATCAACGGACAAATTTAGAAACGACAAAAAAAGGATAATAAAGGCGAGGGGAACTTACTGGATAGTTGGATTTGAAGAACTGGATGGTGGAGGCTCGGAAATTGAAAGAGATTGGATTCCATCGGCTGGCGGGGCTTGCTCTGGTGCTTCGGCCGCCATTGGAGAGGTAAGTGTGAAGCTTTCCCAAAAGCTTTGTAGTATATATCTAGGGCACGTTTGCTTGTTAGACAAGAAACGGGATTGGCGCTATTTAAACGACCGCCTGGAGAGCAAGTCCAGCAGCTAAGGCTGGACTCGGGCTGGGGGGGTTAGGGCCAAAAAATCGATTCCAGCAACAAAGGCTGGCCCGAGGGCGAGGTGGGGGCCACGAAGAAGGGCTGGCCCGAGAGCAGTTTAAACCTGAGATCCAAAACGAGGGGACTGACGTCAACAACAAAAAAAAATTAATAAAAATCTATAAAATAAAATAAAAACAAAAAACAAAAAATTTCAGATTTTTTAAAAAAATAAATACTTAGTCATATTTTTCACTTCCCACACCAAAAATCTTTTTAAGAAATATTATCCAAATTAATTGTTTAGGTAAACAAATATGTGAAGAAAAAAAAATAAAAAAATGAATAGTATTTGCCCTCAACTAAGGTAACTGCTGAAAATCAACATTGCTTTTTGCAGTGAATAGTGGCTGCCATAGCCCCCCTTGCCATAGCAAGAGGCAACTGCTGGAAATGCTCGTAGTAGGTAGGAATTTAAAACCTGGATTGGGTAGGATTCGAACCGTAGTCAAATCTTGGGTCCATTTCGACCCAGAAAAAAGGTCAAATCTTTTGGGTCTGTCCATGCTTTTCAACTTGAACCCAATATTTTTCTGACAGCCAGGCCCATAATTCTAACTCTCTTCGTCTTCTTCATCGCATGAGCAAAGGGCGCGCTTCAGATCCTCTCTCATCTCACTTTGGCGCTTGATGCTTCCCTGCCTGTGGTATGTTTTGGCTGCCCATTCTCTCTCTCTCTCCGTAGGGGAAAGAATAAAAAACGACTGGGATATTATTTGATTGGGAATTTCGGGTTTTGGGTTGGAATTGATTGAAGCTGAATTGAGATTTGATTTGGGTTGTGCTCACCTTTTTGCGTGTTTAATTTTCCACAGCTGCAGCACTGTTTGGAAAAATATAAATCAACCATTTGATTCAATTTCTCTACTTTTGAAGTCTCTGGGGAAGCCATTGGAAGCTTTGTTTTAGCCCTCTTCTTCGTCAGGTAGCACTCTATCTTCCCTTTTGGTTTTAGGCTTTTTATCACAAATGGTCCCTAAGGTTTGCGAAATTATCGTCTTTCGTCCTTAACGTTTTTTTGTGACATTAATGATCCTTAAGGTTATACTCAACACATCAAAATAGTCCATACCGTCAACTTCTGTTAAATTTTCTGTTAAGAAGCTGACATAGCATATATGTAGGTCACACATCCAATAATATATAGCCAGGTGGCTTTGAATAAAATATAAATATATTTAAAAAGAAAATTAAATTCAAAAAGAGATAAGATTAAAACTTTTTTTAAAAAAAATTTAAAACTCTCTCGCCCTCTTCCTTCCAACTTGTCAACCCACTGTGCCAATCCACCTCCCTCCACCCCTTCTCTTTCTCTCTCTCATCAGATTCGCGGCTGATGGTCAGCCAAGCAAAGAACTGAGTTGGGATTTGATGCAAGAACATAATCGGTTTCAATGGTTGTGGAGGGCATAGGGGTCCAAATCTGAAATGGGTATGGCTCTTTGTTATGAACTTTAAATGGTTTGTAGTTGCTGTGAAGGTAGAAGTTGAACTGGTGTTTACCCAGATGCAGGCATATGATTCATTAACCCAGATGCAGGCACTCAACATGAACTGTGGATACTAACTATGAAATCTTGTATGTTGGGCTCAACTATGTAGCCAAAGTAATGAGAAATGGTAACAAAGTTTACAATTAATTTCTTCAAGGCATGTAAGACAGGGCTGCCATAGCTGCTCTAGAAGGAGAGATAGAACAGAGGGAGAGGGGGAGAGAGAACAGAGGGAGAAGATGGCAGAGGAGGGTTGGCGACAAGTTTTTATATATTTAAAATCAAGTTTTAGTATTCTTTTTTTTTTTTCTAAAAAAATTAATTTAATTTTTAAATATATTAAAGTCACGTGGCTATATATTATTGGATGTGTATGCCATGTCAGCTTCTTAATAGAAAATTTAACGGAGGTTGACGGCAGGGACCATTTTGATGTGTTGAGTATAACCTTAAGGACCATTAATGTCACAAAAAAACGTTAAGGACGAAAGGCGATAATTTTGCAAACTTCAGGGACCATTTGTGATAAAAAGCCTTGGTTTTATTTGCTGGTTTTTTTAATTACCTATTTTTCTGTTTTTATTTCTTTTTAGGCTTTTTATCACAAATGGTCCCTTAGATTTGCAAAATTTTCACCTTTCGTCCCTAACGTTTTTTTGTGATACCAATAGTCCCTAAGGTTATCCTCCACACATCAAAATAGTCCCTGTCGTTAGCTTCCATCAAATTTTCTGTTAAATAGCTGATGTGGCACGTGTGTAGAGCCCACACATCCAATAGTATATACCCATGTGGCTTTAAATAAAATATATTACATTTTAAATATTTTAAAACTTAAAAAAAAGAAAAAAAAAGAAGAAGACCAGTACCTCTGCCAGCACCTCATACCCTCGCAAGACCCACTCTTTGCCTCTCTCTCCCTCCTCTTCCTCCCTTCTCTCTCCCTCTCTCCCTCTCTCCCTCATCTTCCTTGACTTCTCGAGCTTTCCCTTCTCTCTCTCCCTGATCCAAAAACCCAACTCAATGTTTATGGTATGACTCTGTAACTGTACCAGCCACCAGGTTTGCTATTTTGTAAATCTTATAATTGGATCGCTTCATCTTCACTATTGGGTCTCATCCCATACCCTCTTTTTTTTCGAACTTTTAAGATTTGGGTTTCATTGATTTGCAAGTTTTGTTCAAACAAAAAAGGACCCAAGTGTTTATTTCATCAGATTATCATGTGAGGGACTATGGAGTTGGGAATTACTACTACTGAGCTCATATTCACAGTGACCCACATAGAGAATTTGTGTTTTGAAGCTTAGATTTGGCCATGGAGAAACTTCCTGATGCAGAAACTACATCAAGCTATGGTAGCTTATAAAAATCAAGGAAGATGAGGGAGAGAGAGAAAGAGAAGGGGGAAGAGGAGGGAGAGAGAGAGGCAAAGGTGCTGGTAGAGGGAGAACGCAGATTGTACAGCTTTTCTTGGTTTTTTTTTTTTTGGATTTTAAGTTTTAAAATATTTAAAATATAATATATTTTATTTAAAGCCACGTGGATGTATACTATTGAATGTGTGGGCTCCACACACGTGCCAAATCAGCCATTTAACAGAAAATTTGATGAAAGCTAACGGTAGGGACCATTTTGATGCGTGGAGGGTAACCTTAGGGACTATTGGTGTCACAAAAAAACATTAGAGACGAAAAGTGATAATTTTGCAAATCTAAAGAACCATTTGTGATAAAAAGCCTTCTTTTTATTATTTAGAGTTCGCAGTATAGGAAGTGGAGATTAATTTGTGTTAAGCAAGTGGACATGTGGCAATAGTGTGGGATGGGAGAGATGGGTAAATGGAAAATGGGCAAACTTTGATTTGAGAGGAACTAATTCAACAACCCACCAATATCGTTACGAAAATTTTCCCGGAAACCCCGAGAAACGGAAAGAATTTCCCAGGAAAATGAGCAGTGACCACACAAACCCACCGGGACTGGTCGTCTCCACCACCGAACCCATCCTCTCATTCCTCACCTCTGCCTCCACAGACCCACACCTCTCTCAGGAACTCCAGCAAATCGCTTCCAATCTCTCCTCCAAACCCAATGTTCCGTACAAGTCTCTCCGAGCTCTCTGGCTTGCGTCCAATGTCTCCACCCGGCCCCAATTGGTCCAACTCTTCTCCGGATCCGAGTTCGTCCTCACCAGCCCCAAACCCAGAGAAAAGGTGAGGACACAAAACAGCATATTACCCTTTTTTCTTTTTCTTGTTTGCCTCTAATTTCTGGGGATTACAAATGAAATGTAAAGTTAATTGTTCTTATTGTGTTTTAGAGTGAGGAGTTGAAGGCTAGACTTCAGAAGCTGGCTGAAATTCTGGAGAGGAATGCATATGCAGAACTTGTGAAGGATATTACACCTAAGAAAGAGACCAATGAGCCTTTCTCTTCTTACAAGGATCAATTGGGCTTTGGTAAGATTAGAGAGTTTATACATATCTTACATGATATTTTACTGCTTGGTTCAGAATGCTATTACTTGTGGCCATGGATACCCTTTTCCATTTTAAATTCAATGGACATATTGAAAAGAGTTTCAATTTGTAGTATTGATTGGTCCACTGATGACAATCAATTTTTATGTGAATGCATTTGAGGGGAAAGGAGGCCAAACTATGAACAGTTTGGAAGCGAGATGGTTGATACTAGTTGTTTTACTGGAATATGACATGATATAAGAATGTTGCTTCATATTTCGATCAACTTTTTGGTTGTTCTGAAATTCTAGAATTATGACAATTGAAGTGAAGGGAGCATGGTTGTTTTGTATGCAAAAAATGTGGGGATGGTTTTAATTTCATATGGTAATTGATTGCATGTAAATGTTGCTCATTGGTCTTGACTCTTTTTTTCTTTTTTTTTGTCAACATTGGTCTTGACTCTTGATTGCACCAAAGGTAGGATGTCTGTTCGATTTTCATGCAAAGGTCAAACAAATTGCAGTATCCAAACTTGTGATGTTTATGATGCCAAGCATGCATAAGTACGGGAAAAAAAAATGTTGTATGATGTTCTTAGTGTTTTTGTTGTTGCATTTGGCACTTGTCGAGTTTTCTGTCTTAATAGCAAATGTAGATGTTTTCATAAGCTTAAGGAATTATGTTGCAGAACTTGACTGGAAGTTTCATGTTTTTTGGCAGTGTGGTCACTCTTATCAGTTAGCACTTGTATGATGAAATCAAATTTTTTTACTTTTCTTTTGTGTATATTAGCGAGACATTTTAATGGCCTTTACTTTCTATCATATTGCAGTTTAATTTTTGCTTGCCATTATCTTATTCCCAGTGGAAGATATTGCAAAATGAGAAGGGGGAGTTGAAGATTTTCTTTATGCTTTAGTTGAAACTTGAATCTAGATTGAAGGCAGTGCAGGCTCCCTGGCCAAGAAGATTTGCTTCGTTGGAAACATTTTTCTTTGGGAATTTATTAATATAGTTTTCATGCATATTTCAAACTCTCTTTGCATTTAAATTAAACCCTTTTGAAATTTATTCCGCTTATTTTCAAATAGAGTTGGGTGGTTTCATATATTTTAATGCATCTATTACTCTGGTTTAAATTTTTTTGCTTGCCCTCTAGTAATGCTTGATTTATACTCTTTTAGTTTCTCCCTTTTTGTTCTCTATGTTCTGTAAATTTTGTGTTTATTTTAGATCGTTTCTTAGAAAATATGTATTGGATGTTCCGATGATAATCAGTCAAAAACTTCTACAGGTTTACATGTTGTGGTGACTATGTTTACCGGCTATTTGGTAGGATATGCTGCATTCAGAGCCTTGTTTAACCACAGTCCCGTGATGGTATGTGTCTCCAAGAGACCATTTTCCATTTGTGAATTTCTTTTTTTGGTTTCTTGGTTATTTTATCCTTGGTGGTTTATTGCTGGATTTTTATTTATCTAAAAGTTCTTTTGTGTCTTTCACTTTTTCTAGTGTTACAGAAGTTAATGGCTCTCTTATTTTCTTGTTTC